ATATTTTATCAATTTCAAAAGATGCATACTTCCTTCAAACAGGACCAAAAGAATCTTCATTTCAAACTGTCAGTCTGTTTCCATGGTAACATTGCGGGACTCCTTGGCTACCATAAGTCGCATCAGCTGACTGTGGAACTTCTCAATCTTCTTTACATCTTGAGCTTGATCTGTTCTGTACACCAAACACTGTCCAAATTTTAAAAGCACACATTAAGTGAAACTAGACAATGGCAGTGTAGAAATTATATAAATGAGTTAAAACATTAGAGCCTTTCCTACCATTGTTTTTCTCTAATTTCTCTAAAGGCCACACTAAAGCAACCCCTCAGGAATTATACACCTTAAAGAGTTTTTTTAGCCAAACGTGCTGGTAAGCGTGTAATCCCAGTACTCTAAGAGAGTGAGGCTAGTGTATCAAAGTGTGAGCTCTGAATGGGTAAGTTAGTAAGACCCTGTCTCAGAATAAAAAATAAAGGAGTTGGGGATGTACTTAGTACGAATACCCTAACTTCAATTTCCACTACTACAAAAAACAAAAACAAACAAAAAACAGAATCATCAAATGCCAGTTTTTAAATGCTAATCCCACAGATGAAAAACTATACAAATTATATCAGAAACTCCTTAAAAGTTTCAAATGCCTAGTCAAGTGTATGTATAGTATTATCAAGGAACAAATTACATTTTTCAAGTAAACAAACAGTGGACAGGAAACCAAGGGAAAAGAAGAGAGAAGATACAAGTCTGGGCTTCTCACTAGGTGGATGACATTATAACTCAATGCAGGAAGAAAAGGTGCCAGGTGGAGAGGGCCAGACATGTTCCACTTTGAAGGGTACATCAGCTGAAGATATTCAACAAGTTTGGCATGAAAAGTGAAATAGGAGCTAAACATACAAATCTGGAGATAAAGACATAGTCAGTACTGGACTTGACTTGAGCTACCAGAAGAGGTTGAAAAGATAACCAAGGGAAAAATCCTGGAAAAACATTTTACAATGGGGCATCATCAAAGAAATAATTGGAGGGGCCGGGGAGATGGCTCAGTAGAATAAGCGCTTCCCTGGCTAGTGCAAGGGCCTGAGTTCAATCCCTGGTTCTGAAAAAAAAAAAAAAAAAAAATTAGTAAGGGGCCAGCCAGATAGCTCAGCAGACTACAGCGCCTGCTTAAGCAGAGCACAGCGGCCACCCCTGGCGAGCCAAGCCAGTCCCACCCCACCCTGGGGGGAGGGGTTGAGACTAGGCATGGTGGCACATGCCTGTAATCCCAGCGCTTGGGAGGCTGAAAACTGGAGAAGACTATGAGTCCAATCTACGTAGTGAGACCCTGTAGACCCTGTCCTAAATACATTTTTTAAAAAAGAAATAATTAGTAAAGAAAAACAAAACAACAGAAATGGGGGGGAACCAAGATCAAATGGAGGCACAAATGCCAAAACAATAATTTCCATGGGAGCCGGGGAGATGGCTCAGTGGAATAAGTGCTTCCTTGGCAAGCACAAGAATCTGAGTTCAATCCCCGGTTCCGCAAAAACAAAAAACAAAAAAAAAAAAAAAAAAAAAAAAAAGAAAGAAAGAAAGAAAAAGAAAAAATTCCATGAGTGGTCTTCCTATCAAAAGCAGCATGACAGTGCTCGCTTCGGCAGCACATATACTAAAAAAAAGCAGCATGACAGAGCAAATCATACACTGTTGAGGCCACTGGTCTGAAAATTAAGGCACTGTTGAGGAACTCTCATCAAGAGAAATGTCAGTGAAATTTGCCCTGAGAAACCAATGAAGAAGGGCTGAAGAATGAAGCAGCTATGAGGAAGTAACACCAACTAGATCAGCAAAAGAGCACATCCAGCAGGGATGGACAACATTTAGAGCTTGCAATGACACAAACAGCCTGCTGCCCATAGGTTCGCCACCAGTGAGAAAGGCAACATCACATACTGTTTTTTTCTCACCTAAGAAACCTGAAAACTTTACTCCCTGGTACCAACTTTAGTAGTTATTGTCCCATTGTTTAAGGTGTGAAGAGAACAACTTTTAAACCATTCCAACATAATATCTCACAAGAAAGCATGTTAAATTATTTCCCAAAGGCCTGTCTATAAAAGCAGTTTCTCAACCAGGTGTGGCGGCCTAACCTGTAATCCTAGCAGTGAGAAGGCTGAGGCAGAAAGATCACATGGAGTTTAAAGACAGTCTGAACTACATAGCAAGACCCTGTCTCAAACAAAATCAGCTTCTAAAATTAAATTCTTTATACTGGAATGAAATGCAAAACAAACATCCCAATTGCTAATCTGCCCAAATTCTATGTAAATAACCTCAAATGATTAACTCAATCACACATCTGTAAGTATGTAATAAATAAAACTGTATACTTACAACTAAATCATCTGTTACTTTAATGCACAAATTTCCATTAACGTGCCTATACTTGAGAACCACTCGTGCCTGAAATAAAAATTTGTATTTAGAAACAATAAAGATGACATTTCTCATAAATAATTTAGTCTTCAGTTGAACTAAAAAGGATCTTTTAGAATACCCAAAACACCTAAAGATACCTTTATTATAATCTTATCAATACTTAAATAAGGGAAAAACAACATAGCCATTTCAGTTCATCTTATTGCTACATTTTATTACAGACTTTTCTAAAAAGTTAAATATATATTGCATTTTAAGCTACTTTGAGGATATACTAAAAATTCCCAAAACACATGCGTTTTCAGGAAATATCCGTGAGACTGTAAGTTAGCTTGGCCTTCTTGCTGATAAGTACATATAATAATATAGCTAGCAAGAGGAATAACAAGAAAAGGAAAAACAACCAGCACAAATAATTAAGTTAAACACAACCAGAAAAGAGTGCTGTGATCCAGTTCATACTTTCTACTTCTTTTTTTTTTTTTTTTTTTTGGTGGCACCAGGAATCAAACTCAGGATCTTTCCCGCTGAGCTATACCTCCTGCCCACTTTCTACTTTTCTACAGCTCTCAGGAAATAGATTCAGACTGAAGTATTAAGTTAAAGAGTTCATAACATGATGCATTACTTTTAAACGGAATTGTGCCTCGAAAAGACTATTAACAAATTTACCAAAATGAGTAACTTCTGTACTAAGTGCCACACTACATAATATTTTTTTTCTTTTTAAACAGGATCTCGCTATGTAGTTCAGGCTGGTTTTTTTTTTTTTTTTTTTTTTTTCAGGCTGGTTTTTAACTCAGCAGTCCATGCTGGCCTTGAGCTCGCAGCAACCCTCCTGCCTCAGCCATCCCAGTTGATGGGATTACAGGAAAGCACCCACCACACCTAGCTGCATAATATTTTTGTTCAGTACTGTACAGTTAGGTAGTTAAGACATAATTCAGATATTAGCAAGTTCCTGTAAGATAATACCTTAATGATAGATGTGAGCATGGTGCATTGTAGCAGCATCAGGTTTTTGCTAAGGACTATCAGTAACAGCTAGTTGTTTGCTCTTTGCATTCCAAAAAATATATTGCATCTTCATGAAATTTGTGCAAGTAAGGGAGAAATGGGAACTCGCCAAGAATTTAAGTAGATACATACAATAATGGCCAGATAATGACCAATAATTCAGTTTTACATATTTTAAGAAATTCAGTTGTCTACAAACAAAAAGAAACTGAAATTTAAAAATATAATACATATGACAACTGGTGACGCAGGGAAGAAAATCACTGGCAAAATTTATGCAAAGCTGCGTCATTCTGAAGAAGAGGCCTGAGCATCCGCAAATTCTCGAAAGATCACTGCCCCGAAAAAGGCCGCGGACGCCTATTTCGGGGGGCGCTGTTGCTTCCAAGCGGACCTCCGAGGGCTGGCTGAACGGTGGCAAAAACGACCACCACCTTGTCCACCACGCACCGTCCCGTCCAGCAGGCGCGAGCCCGGCACCGGACAGCACCGCGGGCGCGCGCCGGGCGGGGGCGCGCAGGGGACCGGGCC